AAGCACCTACTTAGAACAAGCTTAGCAAAGCACAGGGACTGCGGTTCAATCCCCCAGCACCACATGCCAGCCAGCCCCGCCCCCTGGTGGGCTGAGCTGGCCACACACACACACACACACACACACACACACACATATACACACACAAATAAAATAAAATAAAATAAAAAAGTGGGGACATGGGAGATATTGCTTGTTCTAGAGTTATAAAAAAAAAAAAAAAACCACCTACTCAGACTTTTGTTGTTAACTAATGTTCCTTGCTGTTTACATAGATTAACAATGGTGACCGCATGTCAGAATAATTTGATAAACACCAACCCTAACATCACCATTGTTGGCTATGTTTAGACCCAGCCCCTCCCTTTTATACAAAACTCACTATATATACCTCCCTAGGTACCAATCCGACCATCAACATAGTCAACTCTACTGGAACTAAAGACAGTTCACCATGTTGGTGGGGCCAACGGCCAATCCTCACCCTCAGAAACATCCAAGGAACAAATGGAGCTTACTTCCATTCTCCTAACTATAATCTAGCAAAAAGCCCATATCTAGATTTTTGCTCAAATGCTTTCATCATTTATAATCACTCCTATCCTGCTAATCAACATTTGAGGGCTCCCTCTGGGTCATGGTTTGCTTGTACTAATGGCATCACTCCTTGTATAATGCTTGGTGCATTTGCCCACCAGCCTGAGTTCTGCATTCTGGTCCACACTTTCCTCAGGTGTATTGGTATTTGGGTGATGGGGGTCGCAAACATCTCTACTTAGAGTCAGACCTAACCAGAATTAAAAGAGCTAATCCTGTTTTGGTACCCATTCTACTGGGACTGGGCCTCACTGGGGCTACAGCCCTTGGGGCATCTAGCTTAATCATAGGAGATAAAAATTATCATAAGTTAAACACCCTCATTGACAAAGATCTGGCAGCTCTCGAGAGTTCAGTCTCTTAGACTAAAAGAATCCCTAGGGTCATTAGGTAAAATGGTCCTCCAAAACAGGCAAGGACTAGACCTAATATTCATAAAAAAGGGGACTTTGTGTGGCCCTGGGTAAAGCATGTTGTTTCTACACCAATCACTCAGGAGTTATCCAAGATAGCACAAATAAACTTAAAAAATGACCACAGGAGAGAGAACAACTATATATGGAACAAAATTGGTTTCAGAGTTTATTTCCACTCTCCCCATGGTTAACCACCTTGCTCTCAGCCCTAGCTGGCTCCCTCATACTCCTGTTCCTGGTCCTCAGGATCGGGCCCTGAATTATTAAATGGCTGTTAAACCATATCCAGACAAAGTTCCAGGTTGCAAAATTGTTAATTTTAAAAGCAAAAGGGGAGCTGGGGAGATGGCTCAGTGAAATAAGCGCTTCCCTGGCAAGCACAAGGGCCTGAGTTCAATCCTCGGTTCTGCAAAACAAAAAAGAAAAGCAAAAGGATACCAACAACTGCCATTACATAAATATGACCCCAACAAGTCAAGGATTTGACTCAGTTACTAAAACCAGTGGGGAATGTTGTAAGCTGGCTTAATCAACTCTATTTCATAACAAGCTTTGTAACTTCCATTTTGTAAAACCTTGATTTCTTTTGTACACTACCACCCATGCCTAACTGCAAAATGTGACTGTTTGTACAAATAAAAAAGTGTTTCTCAGCATTCTGAGAGAAGAAATGTTCCTCAACATTCTGCAAAATGAGTTAAACTGTCCTTCTGATTAAGGGAACAAACAGAATGCTTAAAAATGGGTTAAACTGTCATCAGATGTCCTTCCGACCAGGAACAAAAACAATGCCTAAGCCAAATAAGGACATATTCCTGTAGGGTTTTACAGACTATGACCTTGTCTACAAAAACAAAGTGTCAACCCTCGGGCATGACTTTTAACTCTCCCCTCTTCCCCCTGCTTTTGTGGTTTTCTGCTTTAAAAACTGTGTGTCACTCCAGCTAGGTGAGCACTCTTGTCAGTTTTCTGGGGAGAGTGCTGCCGTTGAGCTCAGCTAATAAAGCGCTCCAAAATGTCCCTTTGGTTTTGGTGTCTATTGGTTTTGTGACGTGCCACAAAGTGGCCAGGGACCTCACAGTGCACTCATGCCAGGTGGAGTCATAGCAGGATTCCATACCACCTACCCTCCACTACACTAAGATCTCAGCCTAGGCTCCTCATGGCACCCACCCTAGCTCTCTGCTCTCCTCTCTGAGAGCAGATCCTCCTGCTCAGACTGAACAGTCTTTACCCACCACCAATCACATCTTTGGGTCCCATATCCCATCACACCACCATCCCCAGGGGCCCAAGGCCACAAATCTTGGAAGGTGGCTCTGGATACCCACACCCTGCCCATAAGTAGAGGGGCCTCCACTTGACTTCTAGGTGGCTGTCCCACCCCAAACCATCTGCACACTTGCTAGACAGGGCCAGTGAGTAGAGGGTCACATCTGGCAAGACAGGGACACATAGTAGACAAGGACAGGGTGTTCTGGGCATCCTGGCAGTGACAGGGATACTCAGAGTACAGGAGACTGGTGATGGGGTTGGTGTGGATGAGTGACTATAGCCCAGTAGACATGGTATGTCAGGAACAAGATTTGCGTGCACATATGCATGTAGGCACCAAGCAGGCCATCCCACAGCTGAGCCTCATATGGACATACCTGGAGGTGTGTCTAAGTGTCCATCTATAAACTTCTTGTTCTCATGCAGAGCAAGTGGAACTCAGAATTGGGACAGGGCAGGGTACCCATAAGTGAGGCAGCAGGGCAGTGTCCCCTGAGCTTCATGGGAGCCCTGTACCAGGGGCCTGGGTAAGTGGGGTGGGAATGGGCAGAAGTGACATCAGGCATCTGACACAATGCGGCTCCAACAGTCACCAGGAACTGCTGTCTGGGAACTCACCTGGGAAGACGCTATGGCCACCTTTGTGAAGAGTGGTAGACAGGCACTCTGGGTAGAAGGATCCCTCCACTAGGGCCTCAATGCTGAGCCTAGGCCACACACCTCAAGAGCAGAGGCCCTCCATGGGGAACCAGCCACCTGGCCTCAGGGTCAGGGGTGGGCAGTAATGGAAGGGATCCAGGCCAAGATCACGGGTACCTGGGGTCACACAGCAAGGGGCAGCAAGGCAGGACCCCAGAGGCCCAACACAGGCCTCTAGTCCACTGCTGCTGACATCCTGGGTTCCAACCTCCATGGTGGCATCTGTCCTGCATGTAGACAGAAGCTCCCCTGGAGGACACTGCAGCCCTGGTGTCCCTCATGCTAGGGACCATGGGGATGGAAGCTTCTGATCACCCCACCCCATGGCTGTACCCTCCCTCCCCTCTGGGCTGCTATGGCCTGGCCACAACCCACTCCCCTGGGACCTACACACACACACTGAGTCCTGTCTCACATTTCAGGACTTAGTCTAGAGGTGAAATCATAATCACACACAAAGGCAGCTCTCACCTCCTGAACACCATCACCATCAACCTCCATGAGGCTCACTTGGACATAGCCTACGCCTCTCTGCTAACTGGGGCCTGCGCCTGGAGGCTCTGATGGTAGGAACCCCACCGCACAGGCAGCAAGGTCCAGACATCATCCCACAGGCCCTGGGGGTGTCTGTGAGGTAGGGCAGGGACTCCCAGTGTTTTCCAGGTGGTATCTATGCTCAGGATCGTTAGTCTGCCTGACCAGATGGTCCAAAAAGACAAGTCTCCAACCAAAACATGGTTTTGTCATTTCCCCATTGAGTCTAACTGGATTTTCTGAATGTGTGATAACTTACAACCTCCCAGGGGAGCTGCAGCCGGGCATCAATGCGGTGCTGAGCCCTGGTTCCTTGTCACGCACTGCATGCTACCAGGCTGAAATTCACTGTATCTTATGGACATCATTGACTTCACAATGCAACTTCAGCAGAAAAAAGTGGGAGGGATCCTGAAGTGCCCCTCCCCAGCCATGGGTGACAGAAGTCAGTATGCAGTGGGGACAGTAGAAGACATGGCAGCCCCTCAGCCTGAGCTCCAGGAATCTGTGCTGCGAGAAGCAGGGCCAGGACAAGGCACTTCCCAACCCACACCAAGCCCCAGCCAGGCTCCAGGGAGGGCCTACTTCCCAGGGCCCAGCACACCAGGACGGCACTCACCCTCTATCTTCAACAGGTGCCTGCATCAGGCACCAGCATCCTCTCGGGGACCCAGGCCTCACCCCACTGCCATGGCAGGTGACAAACCACAAGAGTGTGGAAACCACAGCCAGGGATAAATCTGAGTAGAGGGCCCCACCCAGCCCTGGCTGGGGCTGTATAGACAGCAGTGGCCTGAAAGGCCCACAAGCTGTCCCTGGCTGTGATGCCCATGCCCACCTAAGACTGTGTGACCAGGGCAGAGCCAACAGAGGAGAGGGGAAGGGGCCATCTCTATCAAAAGGGTCATGACTGAGAGCAGCCATAGCCAACCTTGAAGTACATACACGGAGCCAAGCTTTATGTCAGGGCCTGTCCTGTGCACACATGCCATAGGGGCTGCTGCAGGAACCTGCGCAGGGATAGGGGACAGTGACTGTGCCCAAAGAGGACTGAGACAGCTCCAGGCTGGTGAGCTGAAAGGGCTCCACGCTCTAGCAGCACAGGGACTTCAACAGTTTCAGCCCCTGACCTAAGACCTATTCCCTGACACTGCTGGTGTGGAGACTACCCAAGGACAACACTCACCTCCATCAGGATGTGACCCATCCACAGCCCGAGGACACTAGTAGCAAGTGGCCTAAAGAGGCAGCAGGTGAAGCCTCAGGCCCCTCTGCAGGCCACCATGAAGGCCACATAAGCAAGCCTACTGGCTGACCTCTGCCATTCAGCCACCAGGAGCTTAATTCAAGGCGACAAGAACAGGGGTAGCCAGTCCTGAAAGCACCACCAACCTCTAACATTGGAATATTGGGGATATGACAGGAGGTGTCTCACAGCTCCCCCAGATGAGTATCCAGTGACAGGAACATGAAGAGGGCTGCACCTGAGTCACCTTTACTATATATTCATCATAGACAGAGAAAGTATGTGCCACCTCTCTGGTGGCAGGCACCTTAGTGAGGCTCCTAGGCCATGACTGAAGAGGGGCAAGGTGTCCATCCCCTCCTGAAGAACACATGACAATCACACCAGACTGTTGGGCCTGGCCAACACCCTGCTGAGCTGGGCTTCTAGAAAAGGAGAGATGTGCATGTCTGTCCCCAGGGCTCAGACCTGACCATGGTCACTCACCCCAGGGGGTACCACCACAGTGCTCCATATCACTGTGGTCACCAATTTGGCGGTGGACCTCTGGGATACCTCAGCTCCATCCACAGCCTTTGACACCCATCACATCACAGTGGACAACAGCCACCCACCCAGCACGGAAGATAAGCTGGCAGGAGGCGCTGGACACAGACAGCTCATCCACATCAGCAAAGGCGCCTGCAGGTCCTTCCTGGAGCTGTATGTAGCCTTGCCCCACAGAGTTGGCAGAGGCTAGTCAGGCACAGGCAGGCAGTGTCTTGTAGGGGTTCAGGAGGCCCTTAGGGTCCAGCAGAGCCTTGAGCTGCCCCATGAGCTGCACAGCAGCAGGGGTCTTGCTATAGCCCAGGACGTCCTTCTTCTTGAAGCCCAGGCCATGCTCGGCACTCACGCTGCCCCGGTGCGCGGCCGTCCAGGTGTACACATAGGGCTCCAGGGCGGCCAGCAGTGCTGTGCTGAAGGCCTCTGCTGTGACATTCAGGTGCAGGTTGCCATCCCCTGGGAGCAAGGGTGAGTGGTCAAGCTGGACAGGCTGACGCAAAGCCAGGGATCTCCCCAGCTCTCACCCTCCCCATGCAGACTCAGGTACCTGCGCTGCCCGTGTGTGAGTGATACAGCAGCCCCAAAGTCCCTGCCCCACACATTTGCCCACCCCAGTCACTGCACCCCTAGTTACTGTAGCTGCTCCCATGCTCTTGTCATTCCCCTCCTCCCACCAGCCCCAAGAGCCCATCCCAGGGCTCCATCTCCAACCCTGGGAACCACCCAAGTCACCACCCTGGCCTGCTGGAGCTCCTCCCTGCCTGTGACAGCCTTGGGCTACATCTGGGTCTGCATCACGGAGCCCAACCAGCCCCTCATCCCACTGCCCTCAGTCCAAATCCCAGCACTGAGACCATAGGGCTGCAGTCACGGCAAGGGACAGACATAGACAGTGATATGGCACAGAAGGGGGGACCAGGAGGAGATGTGGAGGAACACAGACACAGAATGGTGACCCAACACCCCACCAACCCCTGCAAAGTCAAGTTCAGAACCCCACCCGCCACCTATCCTGAGGAGTAAGAAGTCCAAGGAGCTTGCTCTCCCAGCACAGGAAGGTCCACAATGGCTTCCTGACGATCACCATGGCACAGAGGGCACACAGTGAGCCTATGGCAGGGGTGTCGCCACCACCAGCACTCTGGAGATACAGCTGGCCTCTGTCCTGTCACCTGGAATCAGAGCCACAAGAGGCACTGGGTCATCCAAGTCTGTGCACATACTAACAACTTCTGCTCATGTGTCTTCAATGGGGTCCCACGCAGGTGCCAGGACAGGGACAGAATGGCCTCACCTCCCCCACAGGAGCAAACTAAGGGCAGCACCAGTGGGCAACATAACGCTAAAGGCCACTGAACTGCACCAAAGGATGTCTGGAGACAGCCAGCATGAACGGCCAGAGCTGTACACTGAGGGTCACCAAGCAGCCACACAGGCTCGCAGCTGACCACACAAAGCCACAGCATGCCAGAGATCTTGGGCTGAGCAAAGCAAGAATGAAGAGGGCCCAGTTAGGCCTCTGGTCCCCAGCCCTTGCACCTGGCCTTAAATAATTCCCACAGATAAAAACATAAAAATACCAATTTATGTCACAAATCACACATACCAGAAAACAAGCAGATCCACCAAGAGTTCAGACACTGAATTCCAGACACAGAATTTATGTCAAATCACAGAAAAGAGAGATACAACAGCATCACTAAGACTGGCCACCAACATTTTCTAAATGTCTGAATCAACCTTGGAAAAGAAAACTGAATTCAGTGATAGTGACACTCAGGGAACAGGTTTAACTCTTTGCACTATACACAACAAAGAGATCCATGACTGGAAAATAACTCAAAATCATCCAAATGCATTACAGAGAAGCACAGACTGGGCAATGTGACAGAGGCTTAGGGGCATGGAGGGAGGTCCCCAGAGATGTCAGCTTCTGCCACCAACTGGAGTCCCTAAAACCAACAGGTGACTGGCAACTGAGACCAGGGCAAATCAGATTGTGCCCTCAGAACAGTTTTCAGGTGGGGACAGCACAGGAAAAACAGGCCAGTTGCAGCATGGGGACAACCACAACAGAGAGAAACAGGCATAAAGTGCACCCCACCTGTGACCCCTGAGTTGCAACTGCAGGGGCACAGCTTGCCCAGCCAGACAGGACAGCTGTGAGCACCATACAGCCAGAGCAGGGCCTCTGCTGACACTGACCAGGCCAGGTTCCCAAGGGGCAACACATGGCAAACTGACAATCCTTAACAAGCTAGAACCCCCCATCCCCATTTTTAGAAATAAAGAAACAAATTTCTGCATAACTCATGAGTCAAAGAAAATGCAATAAAGGAAAGGGGAGTTTAAAACTGAAGGTAACAAAAGCATTTTCCAAATTCATGGGATTCCCGTGGCCACAGGCTGGGGCAAGGCTGAACTGACTGACTATCATCTGATACACAGGCATCAAACAGTAGGGGCAGAGGGCATCTGCACAGACGCTGCCAAGACCCAGGCAGGGCACAGCCCTGTGAGTGGTGACAGAGAGCCAGTCCAACCACCCGCGTGCTTAGGTGGCACCGGCCATCCTCCTGGGGCAGCTGGCATGGAGACTTAAAGGTAGTAGCACCCACTTGTAGGATCAGTGAGACTGGAATTTATAGGAAACTGAGATATGTACATAGGAAGGAAGAGGAATAAGCCAAGTACTTAACTGTTAAAAGAAGAAAGAGAAAGAGAGAGAGCCCTTTCTGTTCCTCTCAGACAAAAGCTTTCTTTCTCTCAATAAATTCTTCCTTCATTGTACCTAGAATTCATTCCGTGATTTTAGAGAGCACGAACTTGGCATTTTGGGCATCAAGCAGGTTGGGAGTTTCATTTGCCTGTATCACTTGGAAGTCTTCCACCAAGATATCTGGACAGAAGACCAACTTGAGAAGTACCATACACCATGATCCTGTCAACTCCACAGCTATTGAGGTAGCAGGCCTGGACTCCTGGATGTACCACACCCAACTCAAGTCCTGGGAACCACAGACTGTCACTGAGTGTAACAAACGTTCATCAGACTATTCCTGTGAACACAGAGAAGACTTAAGATTCTTGCTGAAGAAAAAACAAGGTCTTAAGATAAGTAATTTAAGATGTTACACTTAGCCCTTTTACTAATCAATTTATTACTTAAGGGAGAATGCAATTCCTTTCTAAGGTGGACATGAGAATATGAAGTCATTACAACAAGCATTGTACTGGATATGTGACCTGCTCCCCTTGTCCAATACAATTGGGCTTCCTTGGTGGATAGCCCCATTCTAAGGAGATGACTAAAATACACTACAAGACTGTATGGATGACTTATAAAAGAGTTCAAGGCTTCATAGTTTAGGCCACCACTACAAAGTAGCTAAGTGGCCTATAAACTATACTCTTAATGATCCTGGGGATAACAGAATTTTTTCCAACAATGCCACTAAAGCCTCTTTAAAAGCTCTAGTAGGAACCCTATTAAATAAAACTAAGGGTCCTATCCTGAGGGCCAACAATCATAGATACCAAGATGATTATTTTTAGATATGGGATGATTATTTATGGTTAAACCCCACTATACGACATCTTAGTAAAAAGGCCCCCTTATGTTAAGAACAGAAAAATCATTTCTATTCTCATTGGCTAAATTCTACTAAATACTTGGGATAGAATCCCTCCTCAATGATGTATATGCACAATAACTTTATAGGTTGAAGACTGGTTTGCAGTAAACTGGCTTAACCACCCCAGAATTAGATAGGAAGCCCCCAAAGACACTCATTGGTCTTGTGGAACCAATCTGCAGCCCTGGCTACCCACTGGATGGACAGGAAGACGCACACTGGGAATTGCATGGTTACAAGGCAGAAGGGCCAAAAGTATTGACAAACCTGCAAACTTGCCCTGTCTACACATCAATGGTTTAGAAGCATTATGGCAGTGAGGAATACTTCTTTAGAGGGCAGAAGATAGCTAAGACAGGTAGGAATATTGTAGGCGTGCAGATAGGGCAGGGTGCTCCAGAGGTCAATGCAGGAGAAAACTGTGGCTGGAGGACTGTTTGTTGAAGGCCAAGCTTTAAGAAAAAGAACTATTTATCCACATACTTCCCCTAGGGAATGCACAGCATGATGGATATTCTAAATAGGCACTGATCACTTTAGGGTAGAGGACCAAACTTTAACCCACCCTCTCCAGGAAAGTCCTCGTCTGCCCATGTGTGCTTGCTCTGTGACTTGTTTCTCCATTTAATCCCCTTTAATGTTAGCCAAGTGACTACACTTGTGTATTTATTGGTTGACCACAGTTTTCTCCCTCCTCACACATATCCTATGATTTGCCATTGGTTCAGTACTACTAAGTGACTGTCTCATTTCTTTTCTCTTGTTCTTTAGACCAAATACCTGACATCCAAAATTAAAGAAGGAAAGGTTTATTTAGCTCACAGTTTGTAGAGGTTTCCATCCATACTTGGCTGGCTCCAAGGTAGGGATGGCAGAGGGCAGCAGTTCACGGTGGTAGAAAACAGCAAAAGCAGCAAAAGCAAAGAGGGAGAACTGGCCAAGAGCAAGCCTCAGTCCTTGTCTTATATTGTACACAAGTAACCTGCCCCAGGGCCACTGTCGCACTCACAACCATAATCCCAGCATTGGATCATGAGTCAATGAAAAACTCTAGAAGTCATCCCCATAACTACATGAGACCTGGGCCGGACATCTAGATACAAACGTAGTAGCAACTATATTTGTAATCTTCTTGATTGGTTACAGTTTTGTCTCACCTTCAGCCTGCCTCACCTTATGACTGCTCAAAAGAACACCCTTGAGAAGTGGAGTTGGTGGGCAACCCACTTTCTGGGCCCCCTGTGTTCCTCTCAGACAGAAGCTTTCTTTCTCTCAATACATTCTTCCAACTTTTAAGGGGGTGAGAAAATAATAAATCTAAAAATAGGAAAGGACCTGGGAGTGATGGCACATTCCTGCAATCCTAGCACTTGGGAGGCTGAGCTAAGAGGATCGTTCCAGGTTTGAGGCCAGCCTGGACTATATAATGAGTTCAAGGTCAGGCTGAGCTACATATCAAGAACCTGTCTCAAAGAGAGAGAGAGTGAGAACTAAACTTTTTTAAAAAGAAAGAAATATAGATAAAATAAATAGGCTCCACAGCCCATTCCTAGAGAGTCCAGGCACCCAAAACCTCAGGAGGATACACTGGGGTGTGGGCAAGGGCAGCAGGAGTTGGTGTAACTGCTCGTTGGTGCCTAAAATCTGGCACAAAGGAGCACCTTGGGAAATAGGTCTGGCCCTTGCCAAGAACCAGGAATTGGCCCCGGCTCTCATACAGCAAGCCTGTGCACCAAGGCCTACAGTGCAGCCTTTGGGAACTTAGAATAAAGGTAAGATGACTGCACCTAACAAACATGGAGTCCGCCTTCTTCCAAATAG